GATTAAGTTAAAAGACACTTACGAACATTTTCATGAACTTTTAACTCTGTAACTTTGTTATTTACTCTGTTTTGTTATTAGTTATTCATAGAGTATATTTCACACTTTTGTAAAAAGGGGAGATGTCATGTATTGTATGGGTTTCCTGTGTCACGGCAGGGCCTGGTTCCAATAAAGTGTGTTTGTGCCAACATGGCGTCTTGTCGTTACGGTTTATAACAGAAGCCTCCAAAAAGGAAAAAATATATAAGAAAGACAGAGCTCCAAAAGTCATGTCTGCATACCATGACGCTGATTAGCTGATTAGTAAAATGCTCAGAGCAACAGTACTTGTTAACGACCACTTTGAATTCTTCATCGCCTCGTTTCATAGCACTTCATCGTTCGCAGGGAATTGGTGGAAGGTAACATCATCTCTGTTGTCACTTCTATTCTTGCACTGTGCGGCAGAACAGCACTTATGTCCAGATTTCTTTCGCTTTTGTTCAGGTCCACCCTCCGCCATCTTGGATTTGAGGGCTATTAGACCTCGTTTCCATGTTCGCGCCAAATTTTAACTGAATCGGTGGATTGAGGTCAAAACTAATGATCTTAATCATTTAATATAATGCTGAGGCTATACTTATTTTAAACTTAATCGGCTTTCTGGGGTTTATTTGTCGGGTGTCAAGTCGCGTGACAGTATTGCTTGACATATTTTTGAACGTTAATATAACTCAACGAATAAACTGCAAAAAAAGTTTAAACTTTCGGAGAGAACTTCTATCAAGCTCTTCAAGGTATTTTAGTGCTGCAATGTTGTGTGTCTGTGATTTTATAATTTTTTTCGACTGATGACGTCATGTGCAAACCAAGAATACAATACAATAATTTTATTAAGCAATCCAAAAATGGCTTTTCATGCCTAATTTACAATAGTTTCCATATTTACAAAAAGTACAAAACTGATAAAATTACAGTGATGATTAAGAGTATAAATTTCCCTATCTATAATAATTTACAATAATTATAAAAATTACAGTTATTATTAAAGATATAAATACTAATGGGTAAGATCATGACATCATGTATCTTAAAGATCTCTTCAAAAACTCATTAATTATTCATGAGGTATTCAGCCAATCCCTGATTGTAATTTGTACCACGTGAAGTAACTTGAAACTAGAGGAAGTACTCATACCTTGTATTCTACCTTATAAAACTTATTAATAATGCATGAGCTATTACTCCAATAAGGGTTGTCCATTTCATCAGGTGATTGAACTTGTAAATCAGATACAACACTGTGATACAACACTAGTGTTGTATAAGATTTACAACACGGTCGTCACCTTGAGACAACCCAACACTAGCAAAGGTCTTAGTTTTAGTACCGCATCATAGACCTTCACTAGGTTTTGAAGCAATCAAAGACGGATAACAGAACTGGCTTATGCAACAGATGGCTTGCTTTCCATGTGGGATGGATAATTATTCAAAATGTTCTGTGTTGCAGWAAATTGCGCATGCTTAATAGCGACTCAACTCAGCAGTTTCCTTAATTGCCATTTTTTGTCATATATCTCACTGTAATTCATGTTAATTTGTGTTGGAGTTTTATAAGTCGTTTACAACATTCGCGTCCGTGTTGTATGGAAATTACAATCTCTCGNTTATATTTGTCATGTATTGTATGGGTTTCCTGTGTCACGGCAGGGCCTGGGTCCAATAAAGTGTGTTTGTGCCAACATGGCGTCTTGTCGTTACGGTCTATAACATGGTGTCAGAAAACGAGTTGAATCCAGCCTTAAAATAAGTCATCGGTCGTTGAAATTGTAAAAGAAATGGCGGAAAAACTTCAGCCAAACACCCCGTACATGGATTGGTCAAGTCAGGATCTTCCATCCGCTTGGAAGTCKTTCAAAAGACACGTTGAGTTCATGTTCGGTGGACCTCTAGAGTCCAAGTCACAAGAGCAAAAGTGCAACTACCTAATGATCTGGGTCGGAGAAAAGGGTAGAGATATTCATCAAACGTGGAATCTATCTGAAGAAGATGGAAAAAAGTTGAAGGTTTATTATACGAAATTCGAGTCCTATTGTAAACCCAAGTCCAACAAAATCTTTGCACGCTACAAGTTTCATAAGAAGAATCAAGCDGAACAAGAATCGTTTCAGGAGTTCGTCACCGARCTCAAACTCCTCGTAAAAGATTGTGGCTACGCTCAGCCCGAAGAGATGGTGAGAGATAGGATAGTAATTGGATGCAGTGCAGCAAAAGTTCGTGAGAGACTTATAGAAGAAGGGTCAGAACTGTCCCTAGATAAGGCCGTAGAAATCGGACTCACGATGGAACTGTCAAACGCTCAATTGAAAACTCTCAAAGATGAAGATACAAAAGTTCAAGTAGTCAAAGTAAAACAAAGTACAAGACAACCAAAAGTACGAGAAGTCAAAGGTAAACAAAGTACAAGACAATCTAATACATCAACAGTAGTATGTGAACAATGTGGCTATGAACTGCCTCATAAGACAAAAGATAAACAATGTCCTGCAAAAGGAAAACAATGCACAAACTGCATGAAATACAACCACTTTTCAAAAGTATGCAAGTCAAAGTCCAATAACAAGAGGGTATATGGGGTCAACAATAGTGATAGTGACAGTGATTTGTATGTCAGCTCAGTAAATGCGATTGATAGGGTCACATCCAAAGAATGGATGACCAAAATACAAGTCAATGGAAAGGTTGTTGAAGCACAACTTGACACTGGTGCCAAGTGTAATGTAATGGCACTGGGCACGTATCMAAGTCTAAATGTCCAAACACAAATGAAGAAGAATACAAAGAAATTAACCTCATACTCTGGACACAACATACCTATTGTAGGTGTAACCACAATACAATGTCAAGTCAACAGAAAGTCGTACAACATAGAGTTCTACATAACAGAGATGGATGCTGCTACCATATTAGGAGCAGACGCATGYAAACAGCTACAACTCCTTCAAAGGATCAACAATATTTCTACAGCAACAAACAAATCACCTACCAAGCAAGTAAACTCTCATGATATCCTTGATGAATACCCTGATCTTTTCACAGGACTGGGTTGCCTTCCAGGCAAACACACAATCAGAATAGACAATACAGTTACACCTGTTGTCCATCCTCCAAGAAAATTAGCATATGCATACAAGGATGACATAAAAGAAGAACTTGATCGAATGGAAAGAGAAGGTGTAGTTGTACGTCAAACTGACCCAACTCCCTGGGTTAACAGCATGGTCACTGTAGTGAAGCCTAACAAAGTAAGGATCTGTATTGACCCCTGTGATTTGAATAAAGCAATACAAAGAGAACATTACCCTATGAAAACCATTGATGAAATCATAGCTGAAATGCCAAAGGCCAAAGTATTTACTGTCCTCGACGCAACCTCGGGTTTCTGGCAAGTCGAGCTGGATGATGAAAGTTCAAAACTGTGCACATTTAATACTCCTTTTGGACGTTATCGCTTTACTCGCCTACCCTTCGGCATTAAATCAGCACCTGAAGTCTTCCAAAGATATATGTCAGAAATGCTTGAAGGTATACCTGGTGCTCAACCTATTCCTGGAGCAGATGCTGTTGTAGACGATATTCTAGTCTGGGGTACTACAGTTGAAGAGCATGATGAAAGGCTACGACAGGTCCTCGATCGAGCGCGTGCCTACAACCTGAAACTGAACCGAAAGAAGTGTCAACTACGCAAAGATGAAGTAACCTACGTCGGTCATGTGATATGTAAAGATGGCCTGAAACCAGACCCAGAGAAGGTCAGAGCTGTTCTTGAAATGAAACCACCCAAAMACTTGAAAGAACTTAGAACATTCTTAGGATTTATACAATACCTAGGAAAGTTTCTTCCTAATCTAGCAACTGAGACTGCTCCTCTCAGACAATTACT